CCACAGCTTCAGTCGAGAATCAGGAGCTGGACAGTCGTGTAGTACGAGGGTTGAAGGTTGCCAGCTTGGACGGCGACAACATGATTCCACTTCCTCCTACTTACACTCTCAGTGCCATCCCTGTGAAGCATGAGGATATGGCCTCAAGTGAAGATGTTGATCAGTGTGCCCAATTGAGGGGGATCGAGTTGCCCCGCATCGATGCAGAGATTGGACTCCTGATAGGAAATGATTGCCCAGAAGCTCTCCAGCCTGTAGAGATCAGAAGAAGTCAGAACGGTGGTCCGTACGCTATTCGAACAGACTTGGGTTGGGTGGTGCAGGGCCCGAGGCACAACTCTCTGCTGGATGGAAGAAGAGTGAAGGTAAACCGCGTGCAAGTTGACAAGATGAAGCTTGATGAGATGCTGGTTAACATGTACGACAAAGAATTTCCAGAGAAGATCAGCGCCAACGAGAAGGGGCCCTCAGAGGAGGATCGTCGCTGGATGGAGAAGGTGACTCGGAGTTGTAAACGACAGGCAAATGGACACTTCCAAATAGCGCTGCCATTCCGAGATGCTGACCCTGCGATGCCAAACAACAAGACATGCGCTCAAAGAAGACTCGTGGGCCTCAAGAAGAAATTGGAGAAGGATGTGAAGTTCTCTCAAGACTACCGCAAATTCATGGAGGACATGTTCAGGAAGGGACATGCCGAGAAGGTTCCCACGGAGAGCCTGACAAGAAATGATGGAAAGGTGTGGTACATACCTCATCATGGGGTTTACCACCCGTTCAAAAAGGAGAAGATCCGAGTAGTCTTCGATTGTGCGGCAAGGTTTCGGGACGTTTCCCTGAACAGTGTTCTCATGCAGGGGCCAGATCTAGCGAACTCGTTGACAGATGTTTTGGTGCAGTTCAGAGAGGGTCCTTGCGCGTTTATGGCTGACGTGGAAGCTATGTTTTATCAGGTAGCTGTTCCTGAAGAGGACCGAGACGTCATGAGGTTCTTGTGGTGGCCAGGTGGCGATTTCTCCAGAGATCCGGAGGAGTTCCGGATGACCGTGCACTGCTTCGGGGTAAGCTCATCTCCAAGCTGTGCCAACTTCGCTTTGAGAAAGTGTGCTGATGACAAGGAAGACTGTGATCCCGAAGTGAGCAAGGCTGTGAAACAGAAGTTCTATGTAGATGATTGCCTTGTGTCAGTTGAAACGCCAGAAGATGCTGTGAAGATGGCGAAGGAGTTGAAAGATGTGTGTGATCTTGGCGGTTTCCGACTAACGAAGTTTGTCAGCAACAGCCGTGAGCTGCTCGAGTCGGTTCCAAAGGAAGAACGTGGGAGATGTGTCACTGAGCTGAACCTGAGTATCGACGCGCTTCCAGTGGAGAAGGTCCTGGGAGTGTGCTGGACGTTGGAGGACGATGCACTCAGCGTAAGGGTGACGACAAGAAGTTCGCCGGCTACCAGAAGAGGCGTTCTCTCGATGATCGCAGCCATGTATGACCCCCTGGGAATCGTGTCGCCAGCCGTTCTTCGAGGACGCCTGATCATGCAGGACTTGATGAGGCTGCAGTTGGATTGGGATTCGTCCATTCCTTTGCAGCAGAAAACACAGTGGGAAGCATGGGTGGCGAATCTTCCTGGACTGGCAAAGGTGACGCTTCCGAGATGCTACCGGCCAGTTGGCTTTGGCGACGTCGTATCGGCTCAGTTGCACAACTTCTCGGACGCCAGCCAACAGGCTTACGCCTGTGTCACGTACCTGCGCCTCACGAACTCTGCCGGCAAGGTTCACTGTGCGTTCGTTTTTGGAAAGGCACGCGTGGCTCCATTGAAGGCGATGACAATTCCGCGGTTGGAGCTCGCTGCAGCCACGATGGCTGTCAGGATAAGCACGATGCTGGAGAAGGCTCTTGAGATGTCTATCCACGGAGTCTACTATTGGACAGATAGTACCACCGTGCTGCGGTACATCCGAAACGACCGGGCCAGGTATCACACCTTCGTTACAAACCGCCTCGCAGTGATCCGTGATGGATCAGCAACCTGCCAGTGGAGACACGTCGGCTCCAAGCAGAACCCAGCCGACGATGCAACCAGAGGAGTGCAGACCGAGCGCTGGCTGCGCGGCCCAGAGTTCCTGTGTGAAGAGGAGGCGCGGTGGCCTCAGATGCCGGCAGCCATGGTCACTGAAGAAGACGACCCAGAAGTGAGGAAAGAAGTCAAGGTCGCCACAGCTGTCATCGAGGAAGAGACTCCGACCTGGAGGCTGATTAGGCACTACTCAACCTGGTACCGGCTAAAAAGAGCAGTTGTGTGGATCAGACGCGTGGCGCAGATCTTCAAGGCGCGGAAGTCAGGGAAAGAGGGAGCATCTTTCAGCGGACGCATCACGGTGGAAGAGCTCGATCAAGCAGAGAGGGCAATCGTTGGCGTCGTGCAGGCGTCGGCGTTTCCAGAAGAGCTGAGTTCTCTGAAGAGAGGTGGCTTGGTCAAGCGATCCAGTCCTCTGTTCCGGCTCAATCCCCAGATTCAAGATGGCATCATTTGTGTCGGAGGCAGATTGGGCGCTGCGCCTGTCCACGCGCGTGCACGTCATCCGTTCCTGCTGCCGGGTAAGGGCCACGTAACGGACTTGGTGATCCGAGCCTTTCACGCGCTGGCCGGTCATTCCGGCCGTGAACACGTGCTGGCTGCCCTCCGCAGCAGGTACTGGATCATCAAGGCCAACTCAGCAGTCCGAGCGGTGTTGTCAAGATGTACCAGCTGCAGAAGAAGACAGGCACCGGTCGTGAGTCAAGTGATGTCAGACTTGCCGCCTGAAAGAGTCACACCGGATGAGCCTCCTTTCACCAAGGTTGGATGTGATTACTTTGGCCCGTTCTTTGTGAAGAGTGGTAGAAGGCAGAGCAAGAGATACGGTGTACTTTTTACCTGCTTGACCACTCGTGGGGTTCACATAGAAGTGGCAAACAGTCTTGATACAAGCTCGTTCATCAATGCACTACGGCGCTTTCAAGCCAGGCGGGGTCAAGTTCAATACATCCGTTCCGACAATGGAACAAACTTTGTAGGGGCGGAACATGAACTGCGCGAAGCTGTGTCCAACCTGAACAGTGAAGAGGTGCACAACTTCTTACTTCAGAAGGGCATCACTTGGATCTTCAATGCGCCAGGAGCATCGAGCCACGGAGGCGTCTGGGAACGTCAAGTTCGAACCATCAGGAAGGTTCTGGAAGCCTTGCTTCAGGAGCAGACAATGGACGATGAAGCAGTCCACACACTCATGTGTGAAGTCGAAAACGTCATCAACAGCCGTCCGCTCACCCCCGTTTCCAGTGACCCTGCAGACTTGGAACCGATTACGCCGAATCACCTGTTGTTGCTCCGGGGCGGCGCTGTTCCACCCGGCATCTTTGTGAGGTCAGACAGCTTCTCCAAGCGACGCTGGCGCCAGGTTCAGTACCTCGCAGACATCTTTTGGAAAAGATGGGTGTCGGAGTATCTGCCGCTGTTGCAGCACAGACAGAAGTGGATGAAAACTGAAAGAAACCTCTCAGTAGGGGATCTCGTCTTGGTTGTTGACTTATCTCTTCCGCGACTTCAATGGCCTTTAGGACGTGTGGCTGAGGTGTTCCCAGATGCTAGCGGCCATGTGAGGACTGTTATTGTCAAGACGGCACGCTCAGTTCTCAAGCGACCAATCAACAAGCTGGTGCTCGTGCAAGAGGAGTAGCGGGTTTCTGTTTGAATCAGGTGGAGGTTGGATAGCTTACCTTGTATTGGTTGTAGTTCAGCTGGTGGCGGCTTGCCAGCCTTCATCAGGTCGGAGAGAGCCTAGAGTTTGGTTGAACCTTGATCGGTTCAAGGAGGAGGGTGTAAGCGCGAAGATGTATTTCTGTCCTTTATTCCTTTTATTTACCAGCCGCAACCTCCAGCGTGGGCTCTCCTCATGTATGTTTTGAGACGTTTTGTTTTTGCCCCGCCGAGCCTGTGTAGAAGGCGGCCGGCCTGTGTCTGCAGTGGTAAAAGCGATATAATTCGGTAAGATGTTTATTTTTAGGTTATTTAGGCTGGTTTAGTTCAATTTAATTTGTTATTCTGTTTCTCGGTACTTTTATTGTGTTTTGTCGCTTTCGTTTACCTAGTTGAATGATCGAAATCGTTTTGGCACGGCGCCAGGCGAGGAGGCGAAAAGTAAGTCCTCAAGTGCTGTATGGGACCTGACTGTGTGATTTTTCGTTTTAGGAACCGTGTGTTGTGTCAACCCGGCATAATACATGAGTACCGAGATATCGCCTCTAAGAGGGGCCCGGCGAGTGAGACACCTGCTACGAGCCCACTTTGAGGCAACAAGCGAACTGCTGCAAAAAGCACAGGCGGTCACAGCAAAATTAATTCAAAATTCACGACCATTCTCTCCCACACATACACACGACTCCTCTCAGAAAGCGAAACTGGTCAAGGTTGATCTTTAAGTTACCTTCCACTTTAGTATGATTTAATACGTCCTTAAAAAAGTAAAGGTATTTACTTGCATTATTTCTCAACAAAATTACATTTTTTGCAATAGAAATAAAAAATAAAAATTTGCCGATGTATTCTATTATTAAATCGCATTACTCATTCGCCAATGGAGGGGAAAAGGAGTCATTAATTCAAAGAAACGTCATTTGTAACCGAAATAATATTTTGCTATCCATTGCGCCATAAATGAAACAAATATTTCCTTTTATTTCTTATAACCGACTCATTATTTTGATGATGTCATTAAACATTCCCTTCACCACTCGATTAGGATGGGTAAAATACTAATAGATCACGAAGTAAAGAATTTGTTAATTTTACACAAATCTTTCCACAAAGCAACTAGCAGGATCAATTTATATATTTGCAACAGGAAAATGCTTGGACGACAACACTTTTCTGCTTTCATTTGCTTTGGTAATGACGTAATAGGTTTTGCTAGGACAACAGAAGTGCTTTTAGGCATAACCACAAAACGAGCATTTTGTCTGTCACCTGTGGATGATGTTTTGTGTGTGTGGATAAATGAATTAGGTTGAAAATTAAACGTTTTGTATCTATGTGGTGCTTTCTATGTTTGAAGTTCTCATCATTCTGAAAAGGCGCTACAATTTTGCATGCCAGTGTGCGGATCAATATCAGCCACTGCTTGATGTTGCCTACAAAACTTCGACCTCCTCCCAAGGCTACCTGGTGAATGGCCACTTCAACTTGAAGATTGACCACTAGTGCTGACTCTTGGTTGTGACTGAAGAAACATGTATCCAGCATATTCAGGAGAGAGAAGCTTCCTGGACAATGTGTCTTCTGATCGAGATGTCCCGATGTCTGCAAGTCTCGGTGCGCCTGGGTTGATAGTGCAGAGTTACGTGCATCTGCAGCCGTGGGCACCCGGTGGATATAATCATGTTGTTGGGCTGCCTCCTCCACCATATTATGAAAATACTGCCCATGGGTACCCTGGAAATGACGAATATTCTCACCATCTGCCAGAAAATCCACCAAATTTTACTTCTCTGCTTCAGACTGCCTATAATCCAGATTTTTTAGATAGTTATTCTTATAGAGGTGCACCAGCTAATGACCCACATACAGCAGGTATGTATTGCCAGCTCCTCAAACTCTGATGAGGGCTGTGCACTGCTTGGAACCATATTCATCTTGTTGCAAGTGTCTTTGATATTGCTAAAAAGAAGTTATTTGCTTGACATGTTAAATCTAAGCCATTTTCATTTGTTTTTGTTAATACTCTGAAAATGATCAATTAATTTGTTTTGTCCTTATGAATAAGTTAACCCTGTATTCTTGCAGTATCTAATAACAACAAAAAACTTTTTAAGCAAAGAGCAATAGCATGAAACTAAGCATTCAGCATAACCATGTAATCATGGTATCTATATTAGTATACCAATGTATTGCAAGTTACTGATAGAACCTATTTTCAACCGTATAGCTGCTTTGTTTTTCACTACTAGGCATTTTCATAGTTTGAAGATTGATGTGAGTGTTTGAAAAATAATATTTGTGCATCTGGCTTCATAATCATGCAATTCTAATTTATCCTTAACTTGATGATTGGACTTTCTTTCTAGAATAGTTATGTTATACAGGATCTCTTTTTACAGTTTAGGAAAGTTGAAAGGGTGACTCTGGTCTGTGTTTGAACTCCAATATACCTATATGTGTCCTGTATTAATCTGCATGTCCCACTTTGTGTGCCTATCAGCAGGGCTGGTGGATATAGAGGACGATGAGATATTCGCCGGCGCCGGCCTGGGCCGCGGCAGCTCGCAGCGGCCCGGCGCCAGTGGCAGCTCGGAGCGCGTGCCACCGCCACCCCTGCGTCCGCGCGGCGTCCACAAGAGGAGCCGGTACGACAGTAGCGGTGAGCCGGGCCGCGTTCGGCCGCCGCCGCCGCCGCTGCTCGCGCCGCCCGGTCACATCAAGACTGAACGGACGGCGGAGGCCGCCGGGATCGGCCGGCCGGCCGCTCCGCCGCCGCCGCCTCCGGCACCGGCCGAGCCCCAGCCAGGTCAGTGGACAGGGCGCCAGCCCTACCCCAGTGCTCGCCGCAGGACAGGAAACGGCCGGCCGCCGGACTGAGGGCGACTGGTTTATCCTGCTCCGATGGTACCGGTGATAAGCGGTATCGCGCGGGAATAGCGCGGCGCCGTATCGCCGGCGAGGATCGGCGAGACGTACACCCAGTCTTAGAGACTTGTTACACACCCAGGCGGCAGTTTCCCCGGAGCTAACAAAACGGGCTAAAGTACACCGGCGCACTGCGTGCGTGAGCCTGCGTTACCTTGGTTCATTGATAATAGACTCGGACATACCTTACTTCCGTCATCCGTGAGCGACGGTTGCAGAACTTCTTATGCGAATGAAAAAGTCGCCTTAATTGCGACGAAAAATAAGCTGGAGGATTTGGCGGTAAAACAATTATATATTTGTCACTTTCAATGGTAGTAACAATGATACTTGACGCTCCATTTAGCCAACAATGTGTCTATGCCGACTCCTCCCCTCCCCTGCCATACTTCCCTTCGCAATTGCGCAGTGTCGGCCTCGCGTGTCTACCGTGCCAGGGGCTCACCAATCCGATCCGTCGCGTGCTAAATCTTTCGTCTTTGTCACCGTCCATTGTTCGTCTCAAAGTCTTTTCGGTGCCATTTTGTCCCTTGCTCAAACATGGCTAGGCACTAGGAAGTCATGAGAAAAATCAATGCATGCTGTGAGCTGCTGGCGTCTGGGCATAACTTCGACAAGAACCTGCGCATAACATCAGCCCGTGATATTGTCAACAGCCGCAAGTACTTTGACACTGAACTGGACGCTGGACGTTAGTTGACACTACTATGTGAGATTTGGAGGACCCCTGCACTCCCTGAGCTCCCCCTGTCTGCTCTGCAGGTCCGTCGGGCACGGCCGGGCCCTCGGCCTCGGCCAGGGACGACGCTCCGCTGGCGCCCGAGCTGCAGCTCGACTGGTGCTCGGACGAGTCGGATGACTCGGCTGATGACGACTGTCAGATCGAGTGTGTCCGCCCGCCGGCCAGGGTAAGTGAGGTGGTTGATTGTCTTCTATGGTGTGCTGGGCTTTGGCCAGAAGGTAGAGATGGGTGATGTTTAGATTTTTTTGCCAGCTGCGTCTTAATCCTCGATAACAGGTTTAGCCTCCTACTGTCGAACAGCGTTGATTTGACGGTGTTTTGTGTTTGTTAAATGTGGCGTCATTGACTCTGATAAATGATCAAGTCCAGACGCCCGTGAATTTAGAATCATCGTCATATTCAATGCAGTCAGGTCCCGCATACACATTACGTGGCACCAAACGACGACACTGTCGTATGACCGCCTAGATATCTGACGTATGACCGTCCAGTCCTATGACCGCCCTCTACTGCGTCCACCGTCAGAGTGCGCCCGTGGAGGTGGTCGATCTGACCACGGAGGTGGAACCCATGGAGGTCGGCGGCGCGGGAGCGGCCCCGCCGGCGCCGGCGCCGCCGCCCGCTCGGCCCTCCTGCAAGCGCGCTGCCGCTGCCGCTGCCGAGACGGAGCCTCCAGTCGGAGTCGGAGCCGCTGCCGCCGCTGCTCCTGCCCACACTCCTGCGGCCGATCAGGCTCCCGCTGCCCCTGCTCCTGGCTCCGCTGCTCCAGCCGCCCCTGTAGCTGCGGCTCCCGCTGCCGCCCCTGCCGCTCCTGTCGCTGCCGCCGCCCCTGCGGCCGCCGCGGCTGCTGCAGCTGCTGCCGCTGCCGTCATGGCAGGGGAAGAGCGCAGGTGAGTGTAGAATCGGGCTGGAGTGTCAATGAAGCAAGTCTTTCTCGAATCCCTGATCATATTCGTAAAAAAATATATACGAAATTTGATAGACCTTGTGGTGAGGCTGGATATTGGGTGGTTTATTCGTCATGGTGTAGTATCAAGTGGTGATCAGTGGGAGGAACCATGCGGTCCACCGTCTCCTGACGCCCCTTGTCCGTCCCCCAGAGGCACCTCTGCGCGCACGGAGCCGGTGGTGGTGCGCCGCGGCTGGCCGTGGCCGGTGCGCCAGCAGGGACAGCCGGCCGCCGAGCCCGGCGCTGCAGCCTACTCCCGGCCGCCGCCGGCCGCCCACGGGGGCCATGGCGCCGCGGCGGCCGCCAGCCGGCCGCCGCCGGCGCATGCCAGCCGGCCGCCGCGCCGCTGGCATGGCTGCGGACACGCCGGCGCGACGCAGCGGTGTCGGCAGCCGCCTCTGGTGGCCAACAACCCGCCGTGCCCGGCGCACCGCGGGCCCACAGGTCAGTTGGCTATCGGTCGGGCCTGCAGGTCAGTTGGTTGGTTCCGCAGGTCAGCCAGGCACTGGTCGATGCAGCTAGACTGGGAGGGAGATACTGGCTGTCAGTGTTGGCACAATCGGGGGCTGAGGTCGTAAGGTTGAGGTGCCCTCGCGGTCGTGTGTTGTTGCTGTCTCTACCTCTGTGTGTTGTGTTGTATATCTATGTGTATCGCAGGAACCTCCCTGGTGACCCCTGCCTGCCCCAGGCTGCCGCTCTGCTGTACAATGCCCCCTTATGACCTCTGTGGTAACCTGACCTCTCTCTGCGTCCCGCAGTCGGTCGCGGCACGCCGGCCGACCAGTACCAGCTGTTCACCCCGGCGGCCTCTCCGTACCCCCATCTGTACTACCGGACCCACCTCCCGGCCTCGCCGCCTCCGCCGCCGCCGCCGCCGCCCCCGCCCGTCCTGGAGCCCAGTTCAGTCAACCCGCGCCACTACCGACTGTGGCACCAGCAGCAGAGGATGACTGAGGCGCTGCGCGCTCATATGGACCTGCACACCAGGTACGGTCGACGACGCGCGAAGCGGGAGAGGTGGTTGGTGGTATGGATGATTCCAGAAAGTTTAGCGATCTGAGAGGCTCGAACTAACGCTTGGGAGACCGCATTGGCGTTGGTGTATTTGTGTATCACAGATGTATCAGTTGCTTGTGTGGTTTGTGAGATTCTCCACCTGTGTAATCCCAGTGTCTCCTCGCTGTCAGTGTGTTTGTGTAAGTACGTCCTCTGACCGTCTGACCGTCTCTACCCTGCCCTCAGGTCCCGCGGTCGGGCCACCGCCAGCAGCGGCGGACTGGCCGCCGGCCCGGAGTCGGAGGCGGCCGGTGCCTCTGCGCGCCGCGCCCCGCCGCCGCCCGCCTGTCCGTACGCGGCTCCCGTGGTACACTCGCACGCCCACTCGGCTCCCATGCTGTACCGCTGGCCGCCGGCCGAGCCGGAGCAGGAGCCGGCGGCGGCCGGCGGCTCCCGCCTGCCGGAGCCGGGAGCCGGCGCGGAGCCGGGCCCGCCGCCGAGCTGCAGTGGCCCGCCGCCGCCGCCGCCGCCGCCCCACCCGGTGTCCGGTCACCTGCCGCCCATGCCGGCCACGCCGCCCGGTCTGCCGGCCTACCCGGCCTACGTGCTGCCCACCTACATCAGGTGAGAGAGCGGACAGACCTGTGTGGGTGGTCCCCATGCCGCCCGACCTACCCGGCTTATGTGCTGCCCACCTACATCAGGTGAGGGAGAGCGAACAGACCCCGTGTGGGTGGTGGGCTCCCCATATCGGCCGGCCTACCCGGCCTACCCGGCCTATGTGCTGCCCACCTACATCAGGTGAGAGAGCGAGCCTACTTAACGTGTCGTCGCCTACAGAATCAAAATTAACCGAGATTTTAACGCAAAATTGCATTTAAGAATTCGGTTTTAGTTACCCTCCGTGTCCCGTAACTTGACTGTTGAGTTTTGAGGGAAGGCTACGGTATCTATGGGCTTACTAATTGTAAGCGATTATTCACGCCCTCATGTACACTCCAAGTGTCACATTTAGTGATCCTCTGTGTCCCGTCCATGCCGTCGGGATGCGTAAACATTGAACAAGCTTCACACTTCCCTTGAAGTAAAAGTGCACGGAAGCCCATTATTGGCCATAACATGTGATCGGGTTTTGGTATCACTTACTATACAAACGGTGGCAATCCCAGCATTTCACGCCCTTCACCATATCATTCTGGAACAAATTGCCAATTTGTTCCGGTAGGGGAATTTTAGGAGTAGTACTCTGCCGGACTACTCTAGTGCATCCCCCACTCGTGTGCCAGACTGGGCTAGCTGCCAACTGGTGCCAAGGTTATTTTCCAGTGGTCTGGAGGCGTTCTTTCGCTGGTCTGAAGTGGTCTACCGCTCAGATATTTGTGACTACTGAACGCGTAACGAGGGGGACGGAGATGAGGCAGTATTCTGTATTCCTTTCTCGGTGAGAGTAGTGTAGTCAAACGTCCCCATCAGAAAGCAGGGCCTTAGTCTACATGCATATGATTGGATGGAAAATGGTCCGCATTGGGTAGCTGTATCTCTGCTCCCTCCTCTACTTCCGTTTTTTTATGCACCAGGCCCACACGTCATCATACATCCTCGTTTAAGTGTGCCGTGAACCCCCGATTCACAGAGCCTGTCTCCGGACGAACGGAACATGTTAAAGGGAGCTCGTTTGGTGTGAAGGCTTGCTGACGTGCCACAGACTGAATAGTGAATAATGTTTTCATAATGTTAAAGCTGTGCATTAAACTTCCAATACGGTCAAGTTCAAGAGTACCCACCGCAGACCCTAGTGGGGCCTTGCCTCATTGAATTTCCATCCGTGCATGTCCTGTGAATCCCGGTCCGCACTCGTTTCACCTACTGACGGCTGTTGTCGTGGTGTTTGTATACATTAGTGGCCCAGGGTTTCGGCGGTCCTGACCTGTGCCCCTCTGAGGGACGTACGTCGGACTCTCCCGCGATGTACGGGCTGGTCAGGATATCCGTATGAAGGATACTATTAAAGGCACTTCACTCGCCGACAGTGCCAGTTGGTCGCGGCTCTGGGTGGTAAGAACATCAGTAGAGAAGGAGGCGTCAGAAGTGTCTCCGATACTGCAATGTGACATCAAGCCTGTGCAAGTGTTGTACCAGCTGTAGGGTCTGTGATTGCGGTGGCACCATTAGCTGTTGCCTGTGACTGACTGATCCCGCTCTGCCCCCAGCGCCGACTCGGGTCTGCACAGCGCCTTCAGTCCGTATCCCCCGGTCCCGATGGGTTTCCACGGCCTACACATCTCCATCTCGCCCCTGCCGGCCGGCCAGCTGCTGCAGCGGCCCACGCTCTCGGCGACCAACATCGACGACCACTACCTCTACCTCATGTCGCAGCTGGAGTCGGCGCGTCACGGCGGAGCGCAGCGCGGTGCCACGCGCACCCAGATCGAGCGCAACACACTGCCGCACAGATACAAGGTGGGTGACGCGAGGGGACGATATGGGAGGGGTGTTGGGGGGAGGGAGCTATGCAAAGGGAGCCTTACGGGAGTGGTGCAGTAAAGAATAAAGATGCAGTGGAGGGGGAGGGGAGGGAGCCGTAGGAACACACTGGACTGGTGAGATTGTTAGTGCTATGCCAAAGTAAGCCTGTCATGTAGGGGCGTGGACAAACTGAAATATTGGCTCACATTAGTTGTGCGGCAGCAAAAGGGATGGGGTATTTTACTTTTAAACGGACCTTTCTGTTGGTGTGGTAGGTTTTCCGCTGTGAAAAGCTGCTTGTGTTGTTCTTCAATTTTGGATGGATTCTACAGTCCATTGTACAGTCCAGCTGTAGTGTCCTTTTACCGGAGTTATGGTTGTATTGGGAGCTTCACCATACCCTGGGACTCCTCCGTCACCTTCTGGCACTTTGTCGCGTTCTGAGACTCGTCTGACGTCCGCTGTGTCCCGTGTGCGTTTTTCGTCAGCTGCAGAAGTCCCGGGCGGAGACGGCCGATGTCGAGAAATGCACCATCTGTCTTTCCGAGTTCGAGGATGAGGAATGCGTCAGGTATGAAGGACTTTTCCAATATCTTTTTGTTACGTGTCAATAAACTGTCTGTCAAATGCGTTCACACCCATTGATTGCTTCTGAACCGATCCAAGGCCTGCTTACAAAAATGCATCACATCGAAAAAAGAACATCCGCATGTTCTATTCAGCATATTCATTCTGAAGAAACCCTGACCGTAAAATAGGTAGCTCCCCCGTTTTCTAACCGGCGTGATGACCGTCCAGCAGAGCTCAGTTATCCCCTCTGACCGACACCCCTCCCACCGTCCACAGGCGTCTGCCCTGTATGCACCTGTACCACATCGACTGCGTCGACCAGTGGCTGGCCACCAACAAGCGCTGCCCCATCTGCCGTGTCGACATCGAGGCCCACTCGAGCAAGGCGCACCTGGGTCTGTGAGAGCGCCGGGGTGGGACGGGTGACGGGACGGCGGTGGGATCTCTGCCGACGGGCGGCGGTGGGTGCTGGTGGTGGGTGAGGGAATGGGTAGTTGATTATGAAGGAGGGGTGTTCACTGGCCGTCGGTGGTCGCGCTGGGTCGAGCTGTTTATCGCTGGGAGAGCGGAGGGCCCGGGCGGCCTCGGTAGGGAGGGAGCGGTGGCTGGCTCGGAGCCCGCCGATCAGTCGAAGTGTCGGTGACGGCAGACGGTCGCTCGGCTTCTCCCGTGGTCTGCCTGATGGGGTGATGGCGAGGCGGGACGGACTGGGCCGGGGACCGCGGACGGGCGCTCTGTGCATCACCTATAGCCTGGTCTGCCGGTGATGCAGCGAGGGGTGAGCTTACCCCCCGCGCCGAGCCGGGCGCGCCAGCGGCGGCTGCGGACGCTGCTCGATCCACGCTCTCTCTGCTTCCCCTCAGCTCTCCGCCACGGCGGATTCGGGCCGGCGAGCTGCTGACATGCATTTGAGCGCTACCGCCGTGTCCCCACTAGGCTACCATGTTATGGCTTGTATTTTTGTGTAATTATATATTAATACGCCTTTAGCGCCTCTCGTATATCTGATCTGAGAATGCTTATTTGATCTGAAATAATGTGTGAATCAGGTGGTTATCGATTAGTTAACTGGCGGCGCCATTTTATGCTTGACTGTGAACATGCATTTATAATGTTAGGTGTCCTATACGACACCTATAGAGCCCGCTGCGCTTCCACGGCTCTGCACCGCTCCGTAAAGCTCTGTTCACTCGGCGCCAGGGTGTATGTTATCCCGTTGAGGTGTGTGTATATCACCCCTATTCGGTCTGGCACTGTGTATAGGGGCACATATCGGGCCCTGCCCAGCTAACGGTCCGATGAACAGGCGTACGCCGATCACTGTATCCGTGGTCCCGGCGTGGTCCGACCGCGACGGGGGACCTAATGGTCCGTGCGGTCTACGGTCCGTCGGTCTCGCTGTCTGCGCGCCCGCCTAGGATTGGTCCAGGCGGCAGGGCGGTAGGAAGCCGAGCGGGCTGTAAATCTCCCAAATCCCCGCCCACCGGCCAGGATGGGTCGTGTTTATGCATGGGCGATTGTTTGTGTGTTTGTGTGTGCTGTGTGCGCTTATCGGTCGTCTTAACAGAGAATGTATGTAGTATTGTGCGGCCGACGGAGGCGCCGCATGGCTCCAATACAATAAACAGCACCTGGTTAAACCGAATCGGAGACGGGCTTTGTGCCAGTGGCACCCGAGTGGCGAAGTGGAGGGAAGAAGGCTCGACTTCTCATAAGTAACAGCTGGTCGGGACTTGTTAGAGGTGAAGGCGATTTCAGGGGTTTGTCCATTCTTTTCAACCTGTGTCCACTTGGCTCATCGCTTCTTAGCCCGTGTCTGCCAACCCCGTCGAGCGGTGGGATTTATTTTGTTTGTAAATGTTAAACATCGCGGGACCTCTCTTTCCAATATTTTAACCTTCTCACCCGTCACAAACGTGGAATGCTTCCCAAACTTTGCAGCGTCCGGTAAAATACTAACCAGTTAGCTCACACCGTTACCTTTGAAAGGACCAGTGCTATATACCGTGGACCAGTGCAGTGGTGAGACTCACGGGCGGCGTGGTTGGCTCGGTTTCACCCGACCAGGTCCGCCGGGAACCTGTCTGCATTCGAACCGGGCACCGTTACCTTTGTGCAGCGCCAACACAGGGAATACCTGTCATTGACTCGGGGGTGGAGGGTCCGGGGAGGAGGTGAAGGGTCGGTGGTAGCCTGTCTGGCGCCTGTGGGTGAACTCTGCACTGTCATCGGTCGGCCTGGGCGTGGCCGTCGGTCCGCGGGCGGCTCCCAGCTCCCGACTCCCCGGTGTAAGAGACGGCAGCGGAGCCGGCCTTGGAGCCGCCGCCGCCCGGCCAGGCTGTCACGGCCTTCGGTGGGTTAGTTCCGGGATCGGCCGCCGCGGCGCCACCGTCGCCGTGCCGGACGGAGCCGGGGTCCGGTCCGGTTCGGCGGTCACTGGTGCGCGAGCCGTCAGAAGCGGTGGGTGTCGGCCGGCCGACCCGGCTGCGAGCGACACGTGCCGCTCACCTGACCTGACCTGACCTGACCTGGGTCACCGGCTGGTCCGCTGCCCGCCCAGACTGGACCTCTGGACAAGTCGAAGCTCGGAGAGTGTGACCAGGCAGAGCGCGAGACGCGAGACAGAGCAGTGTGCGCCGGTCAGCGCGGGGCCACAGTGAGGGTGCCAGACGGCGTGTGCAGCTCGCTGGCAGGACCGTGAACAGTGCCAAGTGAATCTTGTCGGTCCCAAACCCAGCTGGCCTGAACCAAGGACTACCACTCGCCGGGCAAGTCTCACCACCTACCCGCGCGCGTGTTGATTTCCTTGACTCCGGGTCACAGTCCGACCTTGGCTGGGCGGCGCGGCGCGCGCGGAAGTGTGGGGTACCTGAGCGGGTTCCCAGCCGGGTCAGGGGGCGGGTCGCGCGGAGCCTCAGCCATGGCTCTCCGCCAGGGCCGCCGAGAGGATGTGGAGCGCGCCGCCTACTACGTGTGGTTTCTGGGCGCGGAGGAGAGCCGCGGCCTGCGCGGCCGCCAGTACGTGGCGCCCGTGGTGGCCGAGCTCGTGCGCAAAGAGCGCCACGTGGAGCCGTGCAAGGTGACACTGCAGGTCAGCGGCAAGGGCATGAAGATCGTACAGCACGCGGCGCGCGGCCGCGCCGGCCACGTCAAACACTTTGTGCCCGACCACGCGGTGACGTGCGCGGTGCGCGAGCCGGCGCCGGACGATGACATCGTGAGCTGCATCCTGCTGGTGTTCAACCCGGTCACCAAGTGTCCGGTGCACGTGCACACGTACCGCTGCGACACGCCCGAGACGGCGCAGATGCTGGAGGCGCAGCTGCAGACGCTGGCCGGCAGACCGGAGAACAAGGCGCGCATCCAGCAGATCGAGGCGCGGCTGGTGGAGCGCGGGCTGCTGGCGGCCCCTCCGCCGCCGCAGCAGCAGCCGGGGGGCTCAGTCAGGCAGAAGTCGAGCCGGTCCGGCTCCGGGCGTCACGAGCCGGGCTCCAAGGCGGGCTACCAGGAGGACTCGAGCGGGATCGGCTCGGACGACACGGCCAGCCCCGACCACCGCGAGCGAACCTCGTCAGGTGAGAGACACCGTCAGTTTCGACTGCCTCTGGTTTTGTAAGAGAAATTGGTGTTCAGTTTAGATTCTCCCTCCCCTCCCCCATCCACATAAAGACAATGACATAGTCAGAACAGCCATAACTACCTTTAGTTAGATAAAAGGCACAGTCGACGTTTACGGGCACCGGGCGTTAGAATTTAGAGTATTGATCGCTCTTGGTGACGTTTTGAATTCACACGCAATCAAGCTGCGGGGAGTGGAACAGGGAGTGGGACAGATGATCCCACAAAGAGCATAGTCATAGCCATAGCCATAGCCTGAATGACCTGTACCGCTAGTCTGCTGCTCTCAATCTCTGGCGGCTTCGGCTCTCGACGAAAGGCTTCGGCTTGGGTCATAGGTAGCCGCTCGAAGCACGTGTCATTAGGACGTGGCATGCATTCGTAATCGACATGGGAGACGTGAGTTGGGTTTGGCAGTCGACCTTCGACCGATGGAACTTCCGCGTTGTTTCCCAGTGGTGTCCACGCGTTATTTATGGCGACAGTGATACGGACAAGGCGCAGCTAACTTATCGCCACTTTCCCCCGTCCGTTTACCCTTCAGTGAGCTGCGAAGGCATGGGAAAATTACCCTATTAATTATGTGGTGAGCTCACTCAGTGGAAAATGATAGAGTGGAGATGCGCGCCTCGGTGTTACCAAGACGGTGGTATCGATGCTTTAAACACTTATTTTCAGCCGCAAGCTGTTAATCAGATGTTATATCCAGGCGATCACGTAGCGAACTACACGCCAAGTCATGGAAACTGCAATGGAGCATGTAGCGGTACCTCAAAATCCTGGAGACTGCTAAGTGCGTATGACAGAAACACCAAGTCTTGGAGACTGCGATAGTGCATGTAGCAGTACCACCAAATATGGGCGCAAAATGACCTCGTAATCGGCGCGCCCCTAACCCCCAACAAACAAACAAACAAACAGTATCACCAAATCTTGGAGTCTGGAGACAACGATAGTACTTACATTTAACAGTGCCACCAAATCTTGGAGACTGCAATAGTGCACAAACCAGTAGCACAAGAGCTTGGAGACTGCGATAGAGCATATAACAGTAGCCCCAAAGCGTGGAGACTGCAATAATGCACAAGGCAGTAGGCAACTATAACGAAGGAGACTGCGACAGTGCATGTAGCAGTACCACCAAATCTTGAAGACTGCAATAGTGCATAATTCAGTACCACCAAACCTTGGAGACTGCGACAGTGCGTATAGCAGTATCACGAAGTTCTGGAGACTGCGCTAGTGCATGTCTAAGCATCATCAAATATCGGAGACTGTAATGGTGCATCTAACAGTATCACCAAAACTTGGAGAATGCTATAGTGCATGTAATAGTAACACCAGATCCTGTAGTCCACGGTATTGTAAGCTTGCATAAAGTTCCATGAAACCTTGAAGATTGTGACGTATATGGAAGTAATATAAGTTATTCAAGACTGCAGTCTGTAAAAGTGCACACTACGCAGTGAGTACCTACTGGGCACCAGACATGAGACAGAAGCAGCACATCGCAATAATACCAGGTACCAAGACTCAACTGCGTTACTGAACATTATAATATCTTATTTTATCGAGAGTGCAACACCTGCCAAGTGCCAACCCCTGGTCATCTCTACCCGTCCGCCATCTCCCGTCCCCATCGCCCATCGCCCTCCCACCGCCTACCCATCATCTCCCACCTCCCATCGCCCGTGAACACCCGATCGTCTCCCACACTGTGGGCCGCTACCAGGGGACCATCCATCAGCCGCGGAGACAGCCGCGGCGTATCGACTCCACTGTCTGTCGACACCACCTGACACGCCAGACACGGAACGACACGAAACGACACGTAACGACACGCCGTTTACGGTCGTGAGACAAATTATCGACCCTGGAGTCAGACACATGCGGTGCTTTCTGGCGACGCCAGATGGAAACGACGGATAAACCCGGTATCTGCCTTAGCCATTCTCTATTCCGCTTGTCTCCTTCGCAGTCACCACCTCTGTCTCTGTCTTGTCGTCCGTCTAATTCGTATCCGTCTTCGTCTCCGGTACATCTCCGCCCCATCTCCGTCCCATCTCCGCACCGATCTCCGATTCCGTTTGTCTACTTTCAGCCTTCGCGTAGCCTCATATCTGAATAGCCTTCAACCAAAACCAGATATCGGCCAAGTATCGGCTATCACAGAACGTATCATATCCGGATACGATAATTATCGTATCCGGACTCCAACCGGGTCGAGCCTGGGCTGAGCGATAGCCGATAATGCTGCGATTTCTTCCGCCGCAGTAATGCGGTGAAACTCGGAACTGCTCAGTCTCCACTCGGCGCACCTGTCTGTATGTGTGTCTGTGTGTATGCTCGCCGTGCAGCCTAACTACAGTTACGTTCAACAGCACACCGGTCGGCCTGTCAAGTGAGTGATGACTGTCATTAGCTGAGTGCGCAGTATGTACTCGCCGTGACGTAAAACAGGCGCCGTCTCCCCGCGGGCGCGACCGGCGCCCACAGTGGGTCACCAGTCGAGAATGGTGACCAGCCACCCACCTCATCAGAACCGACGGGCGAAACTGACACGGGCACCGCGCCGGGTCACGGCGCGCGCGCCTCGCTGCTGACCCCGGCGACCCTGCGTTCCCGCTCTGTCCGAGCGGTCGCTGCGCGCCGGCGCCCGCCACGTGCCAGATTCGGCTGACCCGCCGGCCGGGCTGCGGCCAGCCGGGCCGGAGCGCCGTTTTTACTCGCTACAGACGCGCCGCTGGCTCTGGGTTACGGTCGCGGCGGGCTGGGTCGGCCGCCGGGCCGGAATGCAGGCCAGCCGGCAGTGACGGCGGCCACTGTATGCCGTCCGTGTCACTGCGGTGGTGGGGTGGGATGGTCCCACAGTGACCTGATGTGAAGGAGAGAGATGGTCAGAACTCAGATCCCCCAGTGACCTATAGTGGGACCGAAGTAGAGCCTGACGAGCGGTGTCGCGGAAATATCAGCGTGACTTTGTTGCACACCGGTACTCTGCTACGATTGTTGCTAAGTGCTATAACA